GGCCTCCCAGAGTGCTAGGATTACAGGCATGAGCCACCGTGCCTCGCCAGCATTTACGTCTTTTAAAAAAATTATCAGACAGGCAACAAAGTGAGACTCTGTCTCAAAGAAAAAAATTATTAGACACTTTGGATAAAAAATTATGAACAGTGTTTTCCGATTCTGATTTTTTCTCCATTTCCTGAGGGGCGGTGCCTGAGAAGCTTTCTGTCTGTCTCCTCACAAGCCTGCTCACAGGGCCAGGCGCGGGTGGGGCGAGGCAGAAGATACGTACCAGTAACTATGGCTGTGGCAGCAGGAACGTACAACAACACTGGACCCTTAATAACCTTAACAAAACATTTTCCTAAGGACAGGTATTTTTGTATTCTAAGTTGACAAAAGGGCACACAGCCCTTCTGCTGCACACTGAAGTTCACTGGGTCTCTCAAGGAAAAACACTTGTGCAATTGTTAGAAATACGAGCCGAGCTTGTTTCACAGAACACCATTTTTACTTGAAATACTATAATTATTCAAACTTGGGTATTTGGCAGACATTTTCTCAAAAAAACCAAAAACCCAAAAGTGAGCTTGTCAATTCAAGGAAAACAAGTGATAGCATTTGCTGATTTCAAGCGAAGATTAGAATTTTGAAAACTTGTATCTGTCCTTGAAGTTGACAAGATTCTCGATAGCAGGCCAGGTGCAGTGGTTCATGCCTGTGATCCTAGCACTCTGGGAGAACAAGGTGGAGGATCACTTGAGCTCAGGACTTCGAGACCAGCCTGAGCAGGAGCAAGACCTAGTCGCTACTAAAAATAGAAAAATTAGCCAGAGGGCATGGTATACGCCTGTAGTCCCAGCTACTCAGGAGGCTGAGGCAGGAGGATCCTTTGAACCTAGAAGTTTGAGGCTGCAGTGAGCTACGATGAAGCCACTGCACTCTAGCCTGGGTGACAGAATGAGACTCTGTCTCGGGTGGCGGGGGGGAGAGAACGTTCTCAATAGCAAGAGACTTTTCTGATCAGAATGCTAGTGATATTAACAAAGGTGGTTTTTTGATACTGTATAATAAAATGTGTCAGTACTTGGAAGCACTGCATCACTGTGAACCAGTATTTTCCAAATGATCAATATGAAATGCTACAAAATCATGCATGGGTAAAACTGATTTTAATGTAACAGAGCATGAAAAATACATCCATATGGTTTCAGATTCCACATTGTAACCTTTAAAGAAACTACCATTTGTCATTTGTAATTATAACCTTTAAAGAAACTACCATTTGTCAATTTGAGGATATTATTAAAGAAGAATAGTCAAAATTATCTGAGAAGCCTATCAAAATACTCCTCCCATTTCCAACTACACATGTCTGTGTGAAGACAGATTTTCTTCATATACTTCAACTAATGTATTTCAATGGATTGAATGCAGAATCCAACTGTCTTCTATTAAGCCAGATAGTAAAGAGATTTGTAAAAATATAAAGCAATGCCACTCTTGCCACTCTTCTCACTTGTTCTGAAAATATTTTCACAAAAATGTTATTTATGTTAACATATAATGAGTGTATTATTATTTCAAAATAGAACTAATATTTTAAAATTTCTCAGTTTTAATTTCTTTGAATGCCTCCAGCCTCTAGCAGTCCATTGCGCCACAAAGCCACCTCTCAGTTTTACCTTCTAACCCAGTGTACTTGTTAAATATAACCCATACAAACAAAAGCTCTGTGGGGTCCTCTTTCTAACAGTGTAAAGGGGTCCTGAGGCTAGAAAGTTTGAGAACCACTCCCAGAGAACATCTGAATAGGTCAGTCTTGGATCAGAGGCACTGAAAGTCACTAAGCTAATAATTGCTGAATTCCTACAATGCACAAAGAATGAAGGCTAAAAATGTGAAAAAGAAAGGATCATGCCACTAAGGAGTTCAGTCCAGCTGGCAGAAACATGACAAACAAAGAAAACACAGGCAATCATAAAGGCACACATGCAGCGCAAAAGGCGTGGGCTTTGGAGCAGAACCTTGGCTTGCAAGTGAGCCCTGCCAGGTGTGAGCTTGCACTCCTGGCTCGTTACCGGAGCTCTTGGAGCTCCAGTTTCTTTGTCATTTGCTTGGGAATAAGAACACATAGCTCCAAGTGCTGTTCTAAGGATTAAATGAAATCCTCACAAGGTGGGGGCTGAGCACCGCGCTGCTGCTAACCTTTTCCTCTGTCACTGTCACATGACATCATCTCGCACAGGCCAGGTGTGGCTAGTGGTGAGTTCCCCATCCACTGAAATCACGGACCTTTGTCCATAGTTATGACTGGCAAATGCCTGGCATCACTCCTACTAACCTTTCAAGGAATTAGGAATGATGACAGCTTCTTTTTAAAGCAGTAGTAATATATAACAGAATGAAAAAAGTAAATGTTCTAATAGGCCAACTTTTTAGTCACAAAAGTAGTAGAAAATGCTACAAATAACAATTGAGATTATGAAGGGACTATGATCGAGAATATAAGCTAACTAAAAATACAATTATGAATATGAATACAACTATGATTTTTCCAAATGTAAGAAGGCAAGAGCCAACAATATTTCTGAAAATAATTTTACCTGGTCGAGATCCAGAGAAGAATAAACAATTTTCCCTTTGTCATCTCCAGAGAACAATTTCATTCCATTGGGGCTCCAAGCCAGAGCTGTAATGCTATTTTTGTGAATACCAGTGACATCAAACCTCCGAAGCTATGAATAAATGATAAAAATACACACACAGAAAAGGATAAATGCTGTGAGCTGGGGTATGTGGCAAGGTAATACACAATTGCTCCTATTTATGGAAGAGCTGGTTTTCCCAATCTTGTTTCCCATGCAGAACCCTGCACGAGGTTCCATCTGTTTATTCACCCTCAAAACCCACAGAGAACACACCAAGAGAGTATTGAGCAAGATTGAAATTACCCATATGAGTTTTATGCCAAGTGTCCAACCAGGAACAAAAATGTTATCTGATTATAAACAGCACAATGTTAAGCTTTTCTGAGCACACATTTTCAAGGCAGATGAGGATTTCTCATTTTAAAATCCATGAGGAATTGCCAAGAAGCCAAAAAGTGCTAAAATGATGAGTTCTTACCTGCTTATTTCTCCCTGGCAAGGAGGACACAAGCTGAAACACTGCGACCCTGCCCGAGGCTGTACCTGCTGCCACAAGGTCATCGAAGCAGCTTAGCAGCTTCACCACAGTGATGGGCTCTGTTCTCCCCTGCAAGAGGAGACATTCAAACATACGAATCTGTAACCAGGTAGGCTTTTTTTTTTTGGACCATTACACACCAGCGAATAGGTGGGCTTTGAAATGTAAAACAAAAAAGACATTACCAGAGGAGTGAAAAACTTCATCAAGCTACAGCCCACACATACATTCCTGATTAGAAATGTATACAAGTCAGAAAGATAAATCTGTTAAAAAAAAAAACAAAACTCCTTTTCCTTTCTAGAGTCCACATCCTCCAATTTTTCATTATGTTAAAATACACACAACATAAAATTTCCATTTTTAGGTATACACTTCAGTGGTATTCAACACATTAATGATGTTGTGCAACCTTCACCACCATCCATCTCCAGGACTCATTTAATCTTGTAAAACTGCAACTCTATACCCATTAAATAGTAATTCCCTCTTCATCCCTCCCCTAACACCTGGCAACCACCGTTCTACTTTCTAACTTTGTGATTTGGACTACTCTGAGTACCTCATACAGGTGGAACCATACAGTATTTGTCTTTTTTCTGACTTATTTGACTTAACACAATGTCCTCAAGGTTCATCCATGTTGTAGCGTACATTAGAACTTCCTTCCTATTTAAGACTGAGTAATACTCCCTTGTATGTATTTACCACATTTTGTTTATCCATTCATCTGTCTATGGACACTTGGGTTACTTCCCCGTTTTAGCTATTGTGAATAATTCTGTACAAATATTTCTTTGAGATCTTGCTTTCGATTTTTTTTTTTATAATCCCCTAAATGTTCTCCAGGACTGCTTTCAATTCTTTTGGATATATACTCAGAAGTGGAATTGTGGGATCATATGGTAAGTCTATTTTTAATTTTTTGAGGAACCACCATACTGTTTTCCATAGTCTTCCAACATCTTACATTCCCACCAACAGTGCACGAGAATTCCAATTTCTCACATCCTCACTAATGCTTGTTATTTCCTGTCCTTTTGATAACAGCCACCCTAATGGGTGGGAGATATAGTTTTAATTTGCATTTCCTTAATAATCAGTGATGTTGAGCATCTTTTCATGTGTTTGTTGGCCATTTGTTTATCTTTTCTGGAGAAATGTCTATTCAAGTCCTTTGCCCATTTTTGAATTGGGTTTTTTGGTTATTGTTGAGGTTTAGGAGTTCTCGTTATATTCTAGATATTAATTCCTTATCAGATATATGATTCTCAAATATTTTCTCCCATTCTGTGGGCTGCTTTTTTACTAGGCATACTGTTGTGCACCTGTAGTCACAGCTACTATGGAGGCTGAGGCAGGAAGATCGCTTGAGCCCAGGAGTTTGGGACCAGCCTGGGCAACACAGTAAGATCCCATCTCTAAAAATAAAATAAATCATTTGATTATATATGAGAGGGTTTATTTCCAGGCTATTTATTTTGTTGGTCTATATGTCTATCTTTATATCAGTACCACATTGTTTTGATTACTATAGCTTTGCAGTAAATTGTGAATTCAGGAAGTGTGAGATCTCCAGCTTTGTTCTTTCTCAAGATTGGTTTGGCTTTTCAGGGTCTCTTGAAATTCCACATGAATTTTAGAATGGGTTTTTATATTTCTGCAAAAAACAAAAACAAAAACAAAACAAAAACGGCCTTGGGAGTTTGATAGAGACTGCATTGAATCTGTAGATTGCTTTAGGTAGTACGGACATCCTAACAACACTAAGTCTTCCAATCTATGGACACGTTTCCATTTATTTTTATCTTCTTTAATTTCTTTCAGCAACGTTTTATAGTTTTCATTGTACAAGTCTTTCACCTCCTTGGTTAATTCCTAAGTATTTTATTTTTTTTCATGCTGAACTCCTGGCCTCAAGCGATCCTCCAGCCTCAGCCTCCCAAAGTGCTAGGATTACAGGCGTGAACGACAGCATCCAGCCTCTCATTTTTTCTTAGTCCATCTGGCTAAAGGTTTGTCAATTTTGTTGATCTTTTCGAAGTTCCAACTTTTGGTTTCATTGATTTTCTCTATTGTTTTTCAGTCTCTATTTCATTTACCTCTGCTCTAATCTTTATTATTTCCTTCCTTCTGGAAGCTTTGGGTTTTGTTTTTCTTCCTTTTCTAGTTCCTTATGCTGTAAAGTTAGGTGCTAATTTGAGGCTTTTCTTATTTTTTTTAATGTATGCATTTAAAGCTATAAATTTCCCCCTCAGCACTGAATTGGTTGCATCCCATAAATTTTGGCATGTTATATTTTCATTCTCATTCATTGCTAAGTATTTTCTAATTTCCCTTCTGATTTCTTCACTGACTCAAGAGGGTGTTTAATTTATATAAATTTGTGAATTTTCCAGTTTCCCTTCTGTTGTTATTCTAACTTTAACCTGTTATGGTTGTGAAAAGAAGATACTTTGTGTGATATCTATCTTTTTAAATCTATTGACATTTAATCTGTGGCCTAATTTGATCTCTCCTGAAAAACGTTCCATGTGCATTTGAGAAAAACGTGTATGCTACCGTTGTTGGTAGAATGTTCTGTATATGTTTGTTAGAGCTAGTTGGTTAATGTGTTAAGTTTCCTTATTTATCTTCTGTCTGGCTTTTCTACCTATTATTCAGAGGAGAGATATGAAAAGTTTCTTTTATTGTAGAACTATTTATTTCTGCCTGTAATTCTGTAAATTCTTCCTTTGTATGTTTCAGTGGTCTCATTATTAGATATTTAAATGTTTATAATTGTTATGTCTTTTTGCCATAGTGAGTCTTTTATTAATATATGATGTCCTTCTTTGTCTCTTGTAATCTTTTTGATTTAAAGTCTCTTTTGTATGATATTAGTATAGCCACTCCAATCTATTTTGGTTACTATTTGCATGGAATATCTTTTTCCATCCTGCAGACACCTGCAACCTATTTGTGTCTTTGGATCTAAAGTGAGTCTTATGTACCCAGTATAAAGTTAGATTATTTTTTTATCCATTTTGATCATCTTGGTCTTTTGATTAGAGTTTAATCCATTCACATTTAAAGTTCTCATAAGGGAATATGTATTTCTATCATTTTGCTATTTGTTTTGTATATGCCTTATAGCTTTTTTTCCCTTTCTGGCATTACTGTCTTCTTCTGTGTTTAGTTTTTTTGTACTGAAACATTTAAATTTCTTTTGTGTATATTTTACAGGGATTTCCTTTTTCATTACCATGGGATTACATTTAACATTCTAAAGTTATAACACTAATTTGAATTTATACCAGCTTAACTTTAATAACATACAAAAACTCTGCTCCTTTACACCTCAGTCCTCAACTTTTTTTTGTTTATGTCACAAAATTATATCTTTACAAATTGTATGCCCCAAAATATAAGGTAAATAATTCATTTTAAATGCTTTGGAAATTCTTTTAAATTATGTAGAAAACAAATTAGGGCTTTATAGGCCAAGTGTGGTGGCTCACGACTGTAATCCCAGCACTTCGGGAGGCCGAGGCAGGAGGATCACTTGAGGTCAGGAGTTCAAGACCAGCCTGGGCAATACAGCAAAACCCCATCTCTTGAAAAAAGGAAAAAAAAGAAAGAAAAAAAGTTAGTCAAATGTGGTATAGTCCTAGCTACTCAGGAAGCTTAGGCAGGAGTTGGAGGTTACAGTGAGCTATGATCACAACATTGCACTCCAGCCTGGGTGACAGAGCAAGATCCTGTCTCGGGGTGGGAGGGGAGAAGGAAGGGGTGAGGGGAGGACTTATAAACCAAAGTTACAATAATACTAGCTTTTAGACTAACTAAAAAAATATTTTTGTCTCTTAAATCATGTAGAAAACAAGAAGCACAGTTACAAACCATTCTTACAATAACATTAGCTGTTATAATTACCCACATACTTACTTTTATTGAGATCTTCATTTCTTCATATGGCTTTGAGCTACTGTCCAATGTCCTCTCATTTCCCCCTGCAGGACTCTCTTGAGTATTTCTTTCAGGGCAGGTCTGTCTATCTATCTATCTATTTATTTTTTGAGACAGAGTCTCATTCTGTTGCCCAGGCGAGAGTGTGGTGGTGCCAGCCTAGCTCACAGCAACCTCAAACTCCTGGGCTCAAGTGATTCTCCTGCCTCAGCCTCCCGAGTAGCTGGAACTACAGGCATGTGCCACCACGCCCGGCTAATTTTTCTATTTTTAGTAGAGGCCAGGTCTAAGCATAGAGAGAAATTACTGGTACTTCCAATTCTATCATCTTCCCAGAATCCTCTCCTTCCTTTCTAAGTTTTTAATCTTTGAAATGACAAAAACAATCAAAAAACCCTCATTTCTAATGAGGGAAATGCTGATCAATCAAGTATGAATATACCGAATTCTTATTAAGGCGATTTGACAGAAGAGGTGTTTCCTCCCCTCCCCACAAAAACACCAGGAGTCTGGAGTCAGAAGAGCTACCCTGAACGCAAGGTATACTTTACCCGTCTCCACGTGAACAAGTCATTCAACCATTGTGAAGTGATACCTGTTCATAATCTACCTGCCTCATAGGTCTGCTGAAAGGATTAATGAGATGATACACCCAAAATTGACTTAAAAACTGATTCCTGGTGTGTTTTGGTTCTTAGATCAATAATTATATTAAATAGCATTGACTCAAGCTTAATATGTCGGTTCAGTAAAAAGCACATTTATAAGCATTGCTCACAAACGTTCCGGCTTCTGGCCTGAGCTACCTTTTTTATTTCGAAACTATTCATTCAGAAAAAGTACACAACTGTTTGACAGTTATGGCAGTATCTCCAGTAAACCATTTAAATCTCTGACGTAGTAATTTATATAGTAATCAACCTGCCAAATATGTATGAATACCCTCCTCATTCTGTGTACCCAGTGAGTTGCTGTAGCAATACAAGCTAAAGTAGGTCACAGTCCCAGCACTCTTAAAGTTTAGCTGTAGCAATGAAACAGGCACACAAAGAGCCGCCTACAGAGAGTGGGGGTGGTAGTGATGGAGCTCACTTTCATCTGGTACTTTACAGCTTTTAGGG